CTGGGATTCGAGAATCAGAACTCTTTCCTCAATATGCTCTGGGGCAGGAGCATAAGCCCCACAGCTGGGGTAGGCTTTAGTGTGGCAAGATTTCAAGCAGTTCTCCTGGGTCTCCTGACCTTCCAAACCCTAGTTTGGAGCACCTGGAGCACAATGGCGGGTGGGGCCACTATGGGTATGATGCTCTCTGAGGCACCCCTTTCTTTCCAGAGGCCAGACCTAGGAGGGATAAACACATCTGCAGGCTCTTACTTCCTCATAGAGCATCCGTAAGAAGTTGATCTCGTCGGTCAGACAGCTGACCTTGGCCTCCAGCTCCACCTTGTTCATGTAGGCAGCATCCACATCCTGGAACAACAGCACAGGGTGCTCCTCTGAGACCCCAGCCACAAGCAGCAAGTCCCAGAGAAGATGAGCAGACTCCTCGCTGGCCTTTCTAGGTTGGATTTTAGCAAACTCTGCATCTGGGGTTGGGGGGTGAGGGTGGGGCAAGAACTAGAGGTTTGAGTTCCCTGGGCTAACAAAACCCTAAGCAGGGGCAGTGGGGCATAAATACAGAGGGAGCATTTTGGCAGGTTTGAACTCTCCAAATATTCTCCAGGTCATGTGACATTTCTTGAGTGGGCCAAGGGTTGGGTCGCCCCACACTCCAAGATTCAATTTTGAATCTTCTCCTTTGAAAGACATTTCCACCCACCTTCTTCAGGGCCACAAACTCATTCTCAGCAGCAGTGCGCTTGTTAATTTCGTCCTCATACCTGTGAGCAGAGGAAGGGGGTGTGCTATTGAACAAGGCTTTGATGGAGTTCTTCCCAGGCTGAGGAGGAGGGTGCTGGTGCAACAAGAGTTAAGAGACCTCAAATCCCCTCCAGCTCTTCTGCTCGCCTGTGCCCTGTGCGTGACTTTGGGTGATTTACTTAACCTCTACTTCTCCTATAAAAGGAGAATAATTTCTTCTGTTAGAAGGTTACCTGACCCTCCCCCCCATTCTTCTTTCTTTTGTAAGACTAGAAGGTGAGCATGGAACTTACGGAAATAGAAATATGTATTTATGCAACTCTATCTTCTTAGAGATGTACAATTCGAATTTAAAAAATTTTGTTGCCTCTGCTAGGCTGGCATTGCTCAGTGGTTGAGCATCAACCTATGAACGAAGAGGTTACAATTTGATTCCCGGTCAGGGCACATGCCTGGTTTGTGGACTTGACCCCCAGTGTGGGGTGTGCAGGAAGCAGCCAATCAGTGATTCTCTCTCACCATTGATGTTTCTATCTCTCTCTCCCTCTCTTGTCCTCTCTGAAATCAATAAAAATATATTAAGAAAAATTTTTTGCTGCCCCAAGCGCCTGCTGTAAACTTTGTTCAGGACAGTGTTCCTGGTACATTTGGGTATATTTTCACTGAATCTCAGGGCAGCTGTTTGAGCAGTATGCTTTTAGCAAGAAGTGTAGCTCTAACTCAGAAACCAAGGGTAAGGCAGCTAAAGGGTCAGTGAGGACTACCTCTTCCCCCTGGATACCTCACCAACTGTGGCCTGGGTGATCGCCAGTCAAATTTAGCCTTCTGAGGACAGTGGTTCTCAACCTTCTGGCCCTTTAAATACAGTTCCTCATGTTGTGACCCAATCATAAAATTATTTTCGTTGCTACTTCATAACTGTAATGTTCCTACTGTTATGAATCGTAATGTAAATATCTAATATGCAGGATGGTCTTAGGCGACCCCTATGAAAGGGTGATTTGACCACGAAAGGGGTCGCGACCCACAGGTTGAGAACCACTGCCCGAGGTGGCCCAGGTTACCTCATTTTACTCTAGTGTGCATCCTGGGAAATGCAAGCCATCTTAACAATAGAGCCCGTGCCCAGTGGAGTTAAATCACATGCTCACCTTGAAATAATATTATGCTTTCCAGAGTAACAATATTCTGTTAGGTGATATAGATACCCCTTTGTAGTTGTGTAGACAGGGAAGAATAGGCTTCTTATAAATAGTGATACATGGGATGGGGGTACCTCTGCCACCTCCCACCATGCTGTCTTCATCTTATGGGATAATGACTGCAAGTTCCAAACCTCCCAGCTGATACTCGCATTTGCTCTTTTGCACCCAGAGATGACTACGTGGACCAGAAGCCCATCTCCCACCTACCTGACTTTGAAATCTTCTACGACGTCCTGCATGTTCCTCAGCTCAGCGTCCAGCCTGCCCCTCTCACTGGTGACGCTGTCCAGCTGCCGGCGGAGGTCATTGAGGTAGGCATCAAAGAAGGGCTCCAGGTTCTGCCTCACTGTCTTAGTTCCCTGCTCTTGCAGGAGGCTCCACTTGGTTTCCAGGACCTTGTTCTGCTGCTCCAGGAAGCGCACCTACAATGGGAAAGAAGAGAATGAAATCCTGAGAAACTGGGGAGACTTGAGAAATTAGTTGGAGCCAGATACTCCAATTAATGAGGGAAAGAAGAAAAGTATACTTCTCACAAGACACCCATACACCAACTATTTAATTGACAACTCCAAGTCAAGATGAGAAAGCCCTTGAAGCTACCGCACAGTGCTCAGGGGCTTCCATAGAACTAGTATAGTGGGGCTTGGAGCCTTTATGGGGAGCCTCTATTCTTGGGTTGACAGTCTCGACAAAGCCTGCTCTGGGTTAGGTTAGTTGGCTTAGTGGAAACTCCTCCTGCAAAGAACAACTTAACCTTCCTGGTGTTGACTGAACCAGCCCACATCGCTCCCAAGCAGGATACAGAGAAATTTTCACAAGGTCCCTTGGAGCAAGCTGGTCCCACTTGTAAATATCTCACCCCACTGGAAGGCACCTGCTAATCAGATGTGCTTAGCAGGGAGGTTGTTGCGTTGCTGCTTCTCCTCTGATCCAGGGGCCACTCCAAGAGGTCCTGCCAGCCCAACCCAATGGAGCAGAAGCAGCTCCTGGCTCACCTTGTCGATGAAGGAGGCAAACTTGTTGTTGAGGGTCTTGATTTGCTCTCGCTCCTCTTTCCGCACTCGCTGGATGGTGGGGTCGATTTGCAGGTTGAGGGGAGTCAGGAGACTGTGGTTGACGGTGACTTCTTGGATGCCTCCAGGGGGGCAGACAGGGAAGCCAGAACTCCCATAGCCCCCGCCCACTCCACCTCCATAGCCAAAGCCACTGCTGACCCCAAACCCACTGCTTGCCCTACCACCAAAGCCACTTCTGAAGTTGTTGCCACTCCCACTGATGGAGACCCGCTTGGTCCCCCCTAGGTTGTAGAGGCTGCGGCTTCCAAAGCTGGCCCCTGGACCACTGATTCTTCCCAGCCCTCCACTGCCCCCTGTGGTGCGGGCCAGAGAGGCTGAGCTGAAGCGAGGGCGCCCGGAGGCTGAGGTGGTGCTGAAGCCCCTGCGGCTGCCGGTCTGAAAAGTGATGGTGGACTGCCTGGACATGGCTGCTGAGAAAGGGGGGCAAGAGGAGCTCCTGGCGCAGATGTGTATGAAGGGGGATAGAGAAGACAGGGTATCTGGGGAGCCCCAGGCCCCATGGCTTTTATGGGCCTCTGGGAGGGGCGGGGCAGTGCTGATCAAGGCCTCTGATGGCATCTCTTAGGCATTTGCCAGCCCTGAGCTCACACTCAGCTCCTCTCTGGAAATGGTGTAGGAGCCACTGGTTGGTTCCCTGGCATGCCTCCCCCATGTGCAAAATCCTTTCCAGTCGCAACTTGATCAGCAAGTGAATAAGAAGCACATTAATTGCTTTCAGTCATGTCCTAATCATGCATCTGATAATGGACTCAAAAAACACTGCCTCATTTCTAAACCGCTTTCTTAGGCCTGGGACCGACTCTCTCCTGTCCAAACATCTTGTGTCATTACAAGTGACTGCGATTTATTGTTTCCTGTTCCTTCTTATCCCTTAGCTGTGCTTCCCACCCCTGAGCATTTTCTCAGCTATTATTGCTCAGTGTTCTGCCTCCCACCAAGCTGTCTCTCCAGATCTTGAAAATCCTGCTCTAACTTCATCTTTCTCAGGAATCCACTGAGTTTTGATTGCCCCTTTATTTTACTCTTAAGCTTCCATCTCTATTGTTCAGGTCACAGGAAACTCTGGAGCACGAATGTGCACGTGCATGTATGTCCTGTCTATTCCAATGTGACGTGACTAAAGACCAGGCCCTCTGTCTGCCCTGGAGAGAAGCCATGGGAGTAGACAGACAGGGTTGGATCCCAGGTCTGCCCTGTACTCGTTGTGAGACCTTTGGCCAATCACAAATGTCTCCGAGCCTCAGTCTGGATGTCTCTAAAGACAGGTTTCTGATGAGTATTCATGTGTGAAAACAACTTTTGCAATGCCTTGACCATGTGAGTAAATGTTCAGTTTTATCTCCTGACACTATCAAGCGAGTATAAATGAAGTGCCAGTCCATTCTATGGCAAGTTCGAAAGAAACACAATACATGTTCTTTTTCTTTTACAGGAAACTTGTGGTCCTGTTGGGAAGATGACTGTGAAGCCCACTAGGTAATTTATGAAAAGGAGGTAGACAGCAAAGCACTGCCTCCCTGCTGTCTGAGGCTGCTTAATTCCAGAAGTCTCCCAGACTGGCCACTCCTCCTACTGAAAGCCAGGGTCCTCCCCCTTTAATCCTTCGTCAAAGAGTTCCAGTGGTTGCACCAAGTAGAGGATTTTTCCTTTTCCCCCTTTTTCCTTATTGACTATGCCCGCTCTCCTCTGTTGGCTAAAACTGAAAAGTCTACAAGGCTCCTTGTTCCCCTTTTATCTGCCTCTCATCCTCCTGTCTCTACCCTGGGGGAGTCAGACAGAGACATGGTTAGATCCCTTTCATCTTGCTGACTTCTTGCTCCTTGCAGTGGTTTTGGAGGGTGGCAGAGTGAGAGAGGCCCTGAAATGCATTTAGTCTTCTTTTTGTGGATGGGGAAGCTGCATCCCTGAATGGAAAATTAAACAGATGGACGTTGCCTAGCTAGAAGTAGAGCAAGATCCCATGGTCTTGCCACACAGGTGCTCTTCTTAAAGCACACGGTAACTGATGGGCTGGCAGACGCTTGGCACCTGGAATGGCAGCTTGGCACTTAGAGGTGCGGATCTCTGTTGTCTGAGCTATTTCCTCCTTGGAGCCGAGGCCAGGAGGTGGGCCTCTCCTCCATCAAGAGATTGTTTGAGAGTCTCAGTTTCCATCGGAACCTATGAATCATAGCTTTTGTTGATATAGGCCAAGAGGAGCACAGGAGTTCTCACCTGGTGGCCAGTGCTCCCAGGTCCTAGCTGGGGTGGTGCATGCGTCTAGGGTGGAAAGAATAATTGTCTTTGTGTTCTTTACTCCTTGCATGATCATCTTTCTCCCAGAAGAAGGATGCTTGTTTTCTGAGCTGTGCTGACTAAACCCTTCAGAGCTTCCTGTGAAACAAAGGGTCAAGGTCTGGGAGTGCCTTAGTGGACATGCCTTTTGGAGTGGGAACTGCCACAGCTTTCTCCCATCAAGCCTCCTGAGCGGAAGCTGGCTCCATCTACCTTTCCTCCTGGGTCATTCATTTCCTGAAATCCCCCCCTACCAAGTCCACCCAGCCTGCCAACCTTCCCTTTCCATTCTTGTTTCTCTCAGTCATCAGTTCTTGTCTGGAGTGGCCCACTTCCTTCCTTCTTTGCCTTCTCTCTCTAATTTTTTCACCTGGATTGGTGTTTCCAAAGCTGTATTGTCTTACTCACTGACTTCTGTAATATAGATGGAAATAGATAAGTCTTTTACTTCCCTTTCTTCCTCACTCCCTCTTCTGTGACCTTTATTGTCACCTTTACTCTGGTAGACAATGTCTACCTGAACACCTAGACCTTATAGCCAGTGTCACTACCTCCTTTAAAACCTCAAAACTTAGAGACTAGGAACACCTTCTTTTCTTCCTGCCAAGGAAGGTTTCTTTGTTTTTATTTTAACCTCCAGTTTTATTCTCACCTCCAAGAAGCCTTCTCAGATAAACTGTGCACAGGCACTAACCCCTTTACATTACTCCCTGAGAACACCCGTGTGTGGCTTGCACATCGGTGTATTTTTCCACCTGCATTAGTTTTCTGGTGGTCTGGGTGTGAATTTACCTCTGAGGTTTAGGGTGTTTCACGGATAGAATTGTGGCAGAAGTTCAGTTGACACAAGTTTGCATTCCTGTCTGTTCTCCAGATCTCCTGAGTCTCCAACTTTGTATTATTGGGTCTTTCTTGGAGGAGTTTCCTTGAGGTTTTGGGGAGTGGTGGATTCAAGAGTGATGGTATGTGCTCTGGTGCCCAAGGCTGGGAGTGCCAAAATCTTTGATGTCCTTGTTCCCTGCCCGTCCTTCTCAGGGTTGTCTCTCCTATCCTCAGAGGGACCCTGAGGCCATTGATTGTGGGGGATTTCAAGGAGACTGGGCCAGGTGGCAACTAGGGCTGTGGAGGTCAGTGGAGATATGCCTGTCCAGGTGAGGGAGTGGAGGGTGCACCAAGAGGAGGGCCAGAGGAGGGTAGGCTGGACAAGGACAGCAGGTATTAGGTAAACCCCTAGAGCAGGCTGACCTGCTGCACAGAGCCAGGGTCCCTAAGCACAATGTCTAAGGACTCAGGCCCCTTCCACCTCCCTCCCCCAGTCCCTCAAAAGCTAGATCCCTCCCAGACGGCACTCTCCTACTATCTTGGGAAGTCCTGCCTGCAGTTAATAAATGTTTATTAGCAACTACTAAGTGCCAGGTGTTTGATGTTCTAAGCACAGGCAACAGAGCCGTGAAAAGGCAGACAACCCCCCCCCCCCCCCAGCTCACAATGAAAGGGCAGCGGAGGCCATTTGGAGGTGCAGTCATAACCTGGGTCTCCCAGTTTACAGCTCCTAGAGTGTAGAGAAGATAGTTTCATTGTGGTGACACCTGAGACTCCCAATCAGAAGCACTTTTCACCTTGACTATTCATGTTAGGGCAGCAGACTTCCTCAATATTTGGTATCTCTAAGGTGCACCCAGCCTCTCCATGAGGGTCACACCCTCCACCTCATGGACCCCTTTGTTCCTGCATTCAGTGGCAATATTGTTCCCCAAAGGGACTAAATGTGGCAGTTGACCTCAAGAAACCACCAAGATTCAGGACTTGGGACATGTACTTGCACATGGCCAGACCTCACCTGATCTTCTCCCTTTACCACCCATATAGCCAGGCATTTCACTTGGGCACAAATTTGATGGGCTGGTGGGTGCAGAGCTTTAGGCAGGTAAGCAGGCAACCCTCAAGTTCCCTTCAGTCAATTTTAGCAGCAAAATTGGGTGCTTTTTCCATTCAAACATGTGTTGAGGAGAAACAAGGTGGAGCAACCCCTTCCCTCCATGGTCAAATCCTTCGGACACATCCAACAGGTGTGCACATGCAAAGCATGGAAACACATGTCTTAGGAACATGTACAAAACAATAATCCACACATGAACATGTTGTCGACTGGGTGCATAGGACAAAGAAGTAAAGCAAAGGTGCAGAGTCAGTCTTTTAGAGCCTGAAGGAGACCTTAGAGATGAGGACACCAAGGACAAGAACATACAGCCATTTGGTGGCCGAGGCAGGGCTCCTGATTCTTCCTGATGCCCATATTCACCCCAGGCTTCCCTCACATCATAGAGCTTAGGGAGAAAAGCTCCCCATTGCCTGGATGCACACTTGGAGACTCTCCTATAGTGAGAAGATTGGTGCAATGGTAGCATCTCAAGGGCCTCACATTGTAACCTCACAGAAAACACCTGAAGGGATTTAGATAAGAGGATTCCAGGTGCATCTTGGCCATTCCCCTCTGACCACTCTAATGGCCTCATTTGTTCCCAGGACTGGAGCATTTCACTAAGTCTCTCTGGTTGGTGCCCAGGGTCTGCCATCTAGGGACATTGCTGGAGAGGAAAGTGGGAGTGAAATGGGGTGCCCCTGAAGCTCTTTCTGGAAGGGAGTGGCATGATCAATCATAGAATGGAAGTTGAGGGCTTCAGATGAGTCTTGCTCTCCCTGTTGGCTCCAAGGGTCACATTTCGGGCACACACAAGAAGACGTAGCCTCCTGAGCATGGGAGGAGAGGCTGGGGAGCTGGCTTGGTTTAACATTTCTCATGGATAAATCACAGAGTGAAGCCATCCAAGAATACTTACGATGGGATTGTGTTTATCTGCTGAACGTACACCTACCTTGTCTGTCAAGCTGTGTTTCTGTCTGAGATATCTTGGTGATGCATCATTTACCTGGGTGTCTCCATAGGCATAAGCTTCTGGATATGGGGTCATGTTTTCCACCATCTCCCAGAGGGTTGGGCCCGTGGGACAACCAACCTTGGCCTAGGAACCCTTGCTCATTCTGGGCAGTCTGATGCCCAGCTGACCTGCAGGCACCAAGTGAGCACACACTGATAATGAGGATGGTGAAAGTGACAATGGTGCTGAGAAACCACAAATCATCAAGCTGGGAGAGATTGACTTAAGGTCGCTGGAGAAGTGTACCTC